GCACACTCACTGTACACCTTTTCCACTTACTAATTAGGGCCTGCCTCACAGAGAGAGAACACACCCTGCCTGGCTCTGCAAGGGAATGCCAATGCGACAGACTTACAAGCATGAAGCTGTTTGGGGCTGCTCTCTTCTCTCTAGCTGTGTTCAGAATCTGCGCTACAAATGGTAAGATTGAACTGCTTGTCTGTCACTCCTTTGAATTTCTTGGTAAGCAGTTAAGTGTGTTTGGGCACAGTTCTCTCCTTGTAGTTTGCAGCTAGTGAAGGCTTCATGTTGCTGTCTGATAGCAACCCAGTGGTTCGTTCCCACATGTACAAGCTGAGTACTCTGCATTTGGAGAAAGAGGCACTGCAAGGAGGCTGTTGGCTTTTAATCGGATGAAATATCTGTAGTGAAAATAGGAGACTGACCAGTCGGTTTCTGTGGCATATTTCTATCCAGCTGTCATGAGCCACCCAAAGCTGAGGCTTTAAAAAGCCTCCAGCTGGAGGGAAAAGATTTTTTTTTCTCTTCTCCTTTGAAAAATATATTTTGGGGAGCTTTGCTTGGCATTGAAGGCATTGAAATGTTTGTCACTAGATTTGAAAATACCATTTAATACACTGGGAAACTTATAGTAGACTCAGTGTATCCTTATTGGAATTACACCAATGATGAATTTGGTGAAGTCTGCTTATCAGAAGCCACTTTATGTTGACCACAAATACATGTAGGCTTGTAGCAATGCTCCACAATGCACAGGGCAGGAGTGTCTGAGTTCTGCAATGTGAAAAAGTGACTCTCGTCTTCAAATATTGGATGGTGTTACTACAGGTTGAACCTCCCAAATCTGGGACACTCTGGTCCAACATCTATGGTCCGGAAACTTGCTGGACCAAAGAGCCCCAGAGGTGGGAGAGGGAGCCAGCTGGGAGAATGTGGGGGCTGGGGAGCCTGGACTGGGCCAGGCAGCAGCTGGAGAGCCTCGTCCCCAGCTGGGGAACCCCCATGTCAGTGGGGAAACCCCTCCCATGTCAACTGGGCCAAAAAGTGGCGGGGAATACCCGTCCTTGCCAGAGAACCCTGGGCTTCAGAGAATCCAGGTGGTGGCCGGAGAGCCTTGGGCAGAGGAACCCCCAGCAACAGTGGGTCTGGCAAGTAGGGAGCCCCAGGAAGGAGAGCCCAGGAGCAGGGCAGCCAGCAGGAGGCCGCTAACCTTTTCTGGTCCAGCAAACTCCCTAGTTTAGGACTGCTCAGATCCTGAGGACACTGGACCAGGGAGCTCCAACCAGAATGGGTATGTCTAGACTACATGACTCTGCCAACAGAGGCATGTAAAATAGGCTACCCAACATAGTCCCCACTTCATTAAAATAAAAATGGCTGCTGCACTGTGCCGGCTCAGCTGATTGTCAGCACAGCACAGCAGTCAAGACATGGAGCAGTCGACAAGGAAGCCTTTGTCGACCGCTCCTGTAAACCTCATTTCACAAGGCATAAGGGAGTGGTCGACAAAGGTGTTCCCTGTCAACCAATCCGTGTCTTGACTGCCGCGCTGTGCCGACAATTAGCTGAGCCGGCACAGCGCGGCAGCCATTTTTATTTTAATGAAGTGGGGTTTATTTAAATCCCCGCTTCACTGACTATGTCGGGTAGTCTATTTTACATGCCTCTGTCGGACATACCCTATGTGACATGATGACCATTAACCTGTTGTTTCCAATGTATTTCTGATTAAAAGTTTGTGTACATGCAAAGCAGAAAAAATATCTTTACTGAGAGGAGGAAAGCAACTATAACTAAAATGACTATCTCATCTTTGTCAAGGATTAATTTGAAATGAAAGCTGATTTTCTCTGTCTGTTGGTCCATTATGTAGATCTGTAGTCCTAGCTTTTACAGAAGTCATTAGAGGATCGAGCTTTCAGTGGCTGGCTACTAACCAATGAACAGAAAATCTGTTATTAAAGGATTAAGTAATTGCAGGCATTGACCCGTCAAACTTTTACTTGGGTTACGTGTTAGAAACAGAAGCCCAAATAAACAAGTGTGTCATGTGTATGGTAACCTGTGCACCTGATGGAGATTGACAAGCAATGTTGTTATTACAGGAAAATTTGCTTTTCAAACCATACCAGGTCAGTATGAACTCTGAAAATACATGTTTGGGCTGCTATTTTATGTTCTGTCTGCTAGGGTTAGAATGAGCAGCCTTCCTGCCATTGTTAAATCTTGAATTCATTATGTTACTTTTGAAAAGCAAGGTGGAATAAGATCAGTAGGAGATGGCTCAACAGAGCCGTCTGTAAAAACTTATTAGACAGCAACATGCTCAGGTTAAAGGGGGTGCACAGGAGAGCTACCATTTCTGCAGAGTGCTTTTCCTAACGCCTCTCCTGCTGCTGAATAGGAATGATTGGGTATTGTAGTAGCAAGGCAGAGCTCATCATGCTCAATTAGCAAATATCATCAAATAATGGACATTTGCTTTTAATTATTTTATTCTGTTTAAAATAACCTTAAAACTCAAGGCAGACATTATGCTGAAATTCCACTGGTAAAATAATAAGAAAAAAATGAAGATTATGGGTGGAAAAATACAAGTAGTATGTCTCCATTTCTACCATACAAATGAGTGGAGCTGGAAAACTTTGTAAATTGATAATCTGTGGAAGACAGAAAAGAATCCACTCATGCATCTTATGTTTGACACAATCTTATTTAAAGGGACACTGTCAACTTGAAATCTGGACAGTTTAAAAAAAACAAAAACAAGATGAGTAAATTCAGGTACTACACTTGCTATTGAATTCCCCTGCTAGTTTCTTGTTTTTTAATCCCAGGTTTCCTGTTTTTTTAAAAATATTTTTCTCTCCTGTTGCCTTGTGAAAGACCCGCCCAGAGAAAATTGTCTATATGGGGAGAGTGAAACTGTTGTACACACAAAGTTCTGTCAAATGCTCCAAGTGAACAAACTGAGAAAACTGAGTGTTATTTTTCCTTCAATTTCATTTGATTACAGTAATCTCAGGTGTTCCTTATAAAAAGTGTCAGCAACTGTGATTTATGTTGACAGTGTCTCTTTAAATAAAATGCCTTTTTTTTAAAGTCAGGTGACATGTTCATTACTTTCCCAGCTGAGGGGGTCTTGTAACTGGCCCCCCTGAGAGCTAGCTGGCTGCTCCCCTAGTCTCTGACAGGATGCATTCACTGCAGCTAGCAGTCACCGAAGTGAAAAGGTTCAGGTGGGGATTGTGCTAGAGTGTGAAGTTGCAACTCTGGCAGAAATTCAGACTTGCTACTCAAGCTCGGCTCAAGAGGATTTGAGACCCGAAGATGTAACCCCCTGCACTGCTGTTTGTAGCTCTGCTAACTCAAGTGTCTGACAGCCAAGGGTAGGGGTGTTGCATTCAGCTGCACTTTAGACATACCCTGAAGATTCTCAATGGTCTCCCCTTCTTGTAGCTTCATATACTGTATTGCCTTTTACAATGGTGTGGAGCTTTATAGAGTGTGTGGGGAGGGCATTCATCATCCTCTGAAGCATCAGATATTGACTACTAATGGAGGCAGAATGCCAGAGTAGCTGATCGAATGCGACAACTCCTAGGTGCCTTCCTTATCTGTCTGAATTGCTCCCCCCCCCCCCCCTTTGTGTTGCCACATCAGCATTTTAAGTTGTTAGGCAGATCACTGTAGAAGGTCTCTTGGAAGATAATACATATAAACAATATGTGAGTAATGTAGTTAGAGAATACAGGTGGACCCTTGTGTTCAGTTGTTTATCATATTCAGATCTTTTTCATCAATGCCACGTTTAAAAAACAGTGGGCCAGATTCTGTCCACTTCCTGATATGTTGAGTGCCACTCAAATGCATCTCAAAACTGTACAGTCCTGTGCATCCCCTTTTGTGCAATGGAGTATAAATACCTCCATTGCATCAAGGCAAAGGATCCCTTCCCCCATTAGGAGGCATGGTTGTATTTCCGGATTATACGTAGTTTAAGAAACAAATTTAGACAAATCATAACCTAACCTGTGAACATTTCCATCTGTGACAGGACATTTGCCCTGCACTGACCCTTTCAGGGCAAAAACCCCACCCTGCGTGAGGGCTGAGTGAGCCTGTTGAGGCAGTTCTGGCTAATTAAGGCCCAGCTGGGGGCTATATAAAGAAGGGCTCCTTGAGGGAGAAGAGGGAAGCTTACTTTTGCTCTGGCTAGAGAGCAGGAGGGACTTGGTTGCTAGGGAAGCAAGAGGCTTCCTGGAGGTAGAGCAGCGCTGGGGAAGGAAGGAAGGAAGACAGGGCTGGGGAAGCTCTGGCCAAGCAAGCCCCCAGGCTGCAGTGCCTGAAGCAAGGCCTGAAACTACTGGGGCTAGAGAGAGGCAGCCATGGTAGGCAGGGGAAGCAGGTCCACACCCCTGTGCCAGTGATGAGTGGATATTACAAACTGCAGTTTGCCCCTCAGGCAGGGGCTAGATGAAGACAGGCAGTGGGTCACTGAGGCAAAGTGGGCACAGGGGACCTGGGTGTTCCCTGGGAGAAGAACTGGGTGCCCTGTGGGAGGGGAGGACCCTGGAGTGTGTGGTTGGATAAACAACACCCCCCGGAAGGGGGCGCAGAGCGAATGGAGTGGGCACTGCCGGAGGGCAGTGTCCTGAAGAGGACACCATGGTCATAGAGGAATATGGGGAGACACCAGCTAGATGGAGGCATCCAGCGAGTCAACAAGCTAATTCCCAGAGCAACCAGCTGGAGGCACTGTGGTGGTGAGTCTGCTGTGTGACACCATCCTAAAACCATGGAGAAGTTTGGACCAGCATCCAAATTGCATCTTGGGCCCAATTCTCATTGACATTTGTGGATTTGCTGGAATGTCTGCATACCACACACCTCCCACACACCTCTACCTTTTGTGATTTGCAGTGTTCTGGAATGTTCTTTCCCAAAGGGCATGCCGGGTTAACTGCAGCTTGATACCTATTGGACTCAGCTTTCTACAAGCAGCAAATACAAAGACAGAGAGAGGCATGGGCAGGACTGGAGAATTTTAGGATCTATATTCAGTCTGAGCTAGCAATGATTTCCCAATATTTTCCCAGTAAAATTTTGGCTATGGGATTCTTTGGACTCTTATGCATTTCGACAGGCATTTACCCTTCACCAGCATATTACTGGAGGCT